TAAAACCACTCAATACAGGGAGCTCAGCAGCAGAAGTGACAGCCACTGGGGAGAAAAGTGGCCCAGAGGTCCAAGTGAGAGTTTTCGAATCAGGTTGACACCAAGCGAGCAGCAACAATGCACAGAGACCTGAGTGCAGGTATACAGGGGAGAAAGGACCATCTACCTTCAGGAATTACACAAAGGCATATTTGGCTGGCTTTCTAGAGCTCACTTGTGGGAAATATTAGGGGCTCCTTGCAAGTTATACTGGAGCCATATTCCACAGGGCTGAGAAAGCCAAACTAAGTTATTTAGACAGGAGTCTTGGCCATGGGGTGCAAAAGCCTGGGCAAGTTTGCAAAATGATCTAATGGGCTATAAGAAGTACATGTTAAGATCTTTACTGTATTTTTTAATCCAAAATTACATGTTCCTAATATTTAATAAATGGATTGATGTTAATATTCTTTTACTTCTTATGTGAGTTGGTCGCTGTTCCGTGAGGAATCCTGAGAGAAAACTGGGAGTTACACTCTAAGTAGAAGTTATAGTGAGGGAGTCATTTTATTCGTCCACCTTTATACTGAGGTTTCTTATTCAGTTAGGCAGCTCTCTGGCTTTTATTACCTACTAGCAATTACACCAGTTTTCCTGTAACAGGTAAGTGGTAGACAAAAGATTCTTGCAAAACAAAAATCATGTCATAAAGATAATAATGTAAGAAATACACAAACACATTACTAAAGAAGCTGACACTCATCATATCATTCCAAGCTTTTCATCAGCAACATTACAAGATAAAGGCAATGATGACCAAATTAAACCAGATCTGACAGTTTGCCAAAAACATCTGCCATTACCAGGAAACCTATTTGACGTCTGTATTGATGTCCAGTATTGCTAAGAGCAAACCTTGCCTACACACAACATGCTTTAGCACCATAGCAAGCAATATTATAACACCGTCACAAACTTCTAAAAATTTCTGCAAATAAATATTCCAGTACTTTACCAACTTTCAATAAAGTGAATAATAAACACTTAGAACCTTCTTTTGATTTTTCTTATTTAATAATAAAAGACAAAAGAAGTCACACATCATTTGGAGAAACTTGATTTAACCACCATGGAAAAATGGATGAACTCATATGCACAAGATGATAGTGTGACAAATCAAACTCTGTTTCTTTGTCAGCAAATATTATTGGAAAGAATAAATAAATAACTGGAAGGTTTGGGAGAAATTATAACAAAGTGAGTAGTAAAAGTTTTGGTAATAACAGAATCAAAGTGTAGATATTTCTAATATGTTCAGTTTATAATACTCACTATTTCTGTTTCAGTAATACTTAAAGTACTACCTTAAGCCACGAAGGAAAAATGTACCAATGAATGAAGTAAGCCTCAATATTGAATTTGTTTAAGCTCTACATATTTTTTTAATGAAAAAACTATAATTAGCTACTGAAGAGTTGGCTTTTTTGATTGGAATTATTCTTTTAAAAAGGGTAAGATTACAGAGACGGCAGTACCTGTGAACTGCATTTACTACATCTGTGACAAGTAGATCAGAATTGGACAGAGTGACTCAGGATTTTACAGATGTGGTGTACGTTGTATAGAGATGAGACCTTTATATTTTGAAAAATATCCTTAATATTTTGTATTGAGATAGAGAATAACTATAAATTTATTTTAACTACAGAGATTTACTGATTATGTAATGGGAAATTAATTTAAAACATTGTAGAATCTGAAGATTTAATTCTTTTTTGACAGAAGTCAAAGAATGCCAAATTTGTTCAACTTTTTGGTGATGACAAGTGGTTATTGGTAATACATCACTTACTAGATCGTATAAAGTAAATGGGATGATGGGGGGAGAAAAGGTAGATGGGAGGAAGTAAACCCTGGTTATCAGCAATATGCAACTTATTAAGTATTTAGTAAAAAATAAACATAAAAATATAAAAATAAAAAAACTCAAACATAAAATAAAAATAAATTCTCTTTAAGAGAATTATCATGTGAAAACAGTCCTCTGAAACAGAAGTTTGGAAATCATGTGATTATGCTATATAAAATGACACATGTCATTTTTAAAAGCTGTCATATCTACTCCTTTAACAAATTTTAAAGAGAATATTTTAATCTGTTTCTAAGCCTTCCAGATGAACTCCAGCGGGCTTTAAAGCAATTTGTTCATATATATATATATATATATATGTGTGTGTGTGTGTGTGTATATATATATATACTTAATTCCCTCATTTTCTGACAGATAGCAAGAACAAATTATTGGTATCAGGGAAGATTAACATTTGTCTGCAGATTTTTCACTACTAAAAAATACATTTTCAATTTCAAACTAGGAGAACAGGTAGCAAGATTTGGCAAGTACAAACTCTGATCCAGTCCTTCTAATTCTGATATATCCTTGTGGGTTATCTTTCTTGTTATGGATGGTCATTAAAGTTAAACATCAAAATACCAAAATAAGCTTAACTTAGAAGCTGAAATTCAAATAACGCTATCGTAAAATTTCCGACCAAGATTTTCAAAAATATTGAAGCACAATCAATGCTCTCTCTAAAATACTATTATTAATCATATTTTAATGTGATCAAATGTATCTATATTAAATAAAATAACAATAATTTTAGTTTATTTCATTGATTTATTTTGTTTTTGTGAATGTTTTATATTGTTAATAATATATCAGTAAATCAGTGTATACATTTAATTCAGAAATAAGTATATACATACCGAGGTTGTAAAATAAAAGAAAAAGTAGTGATAAAAAGACATGATAAAAAGAAAGTGATAAAGGTGTAAAATAAAATTAAAAGTACATTGACAAAATACTCAGATATTTCTTGTTTAGATTCTTTAACAAGCAATGGAGAATCATTATCAGTATCTGAGTGATAGAGTTAAATTATGTGAACTTTGGAAAATAATTCTCTTAACTCTAGGAAACAAATTGAGGGTCGCTGGAGGGCGGGGGTGGGGGGATGGGGTAATTGGGGAATGGGCATTAAGGAAGGCACGTGATGATGGGATGAACACTGGGTGTTATACACAACTGATGAATTACTGAACACTACATATGAAACTAATGATGTACTATATGTTGGCTAATCAAATTTAAATAAATAAATAAATAAGGAATATTCCTTTGTAATAAAAATGTTATTTTTATTAAAAATTGAAAAAAATAAAATGAATATTTGTCTTCTGTTGATTGAGGTCACTGTAACACAATAAAACTGACACACATAAGTAAGCAAAAAAAAAAAAAAGAAAGAAAGATCAGACAACCATATGTATGGACGAAGGGAGAAAGAGCAGGGAGCAGGCGCAGTGATGTTATTAGATTGCCCAAATCATTAGTGAAAAGTCATGAAGGCCATCATTAGGAGGGCCCTCAGGAATAGGAGTCAACAGACAGGAATGTGAGAAATTGGATGCAGAGAGTAAAGGGTGGCTGGTAAGAAGAAACCAGAGATTACTCAGAAGGGTAGTGACTGGGAGACTAGAGACAGATGAATGGTATTGCCATTACCAGAGACGAGAGTCAGAGGCAGAAACTGCTTCTGTAGAGGAGATAAGATTCCAACAACTGAGTTCCAGTTTACAGCGAGGCTTTGAAGTGGAACTTGTACACGGTATCTGAAAACACATATCTGATACTCAAAAGAGGGCCAGAAGGTGCACAGGTAGATTGAAGAATTGCTCACGTGGCTCCCCTCAGAACAAAGAAGACAAAACTCAAACCAAAACCAAAACCAAAGCAAAACACAAAGAAAACCTCATCACATAGAGATTAGGAAAGAAGGCCATACGTGGAGTCAAAGTAGAACTCATAAAGCATGATCAGAAAGACAAAAAGAGAACAAAAAGGGAGGGTCATGAAAGCCAAGGGCAGCTTCACAAACAGAGAAATGGTCATAGGCATCAGGTTCTGCAAAGTGGTTAGCTAGGAGAAGCAATTGGTGGTGGTGATGTTACCAGATCAAGCCATTAGAATGAAGAATACATAGGCACCTGCTCTGACTCTGATATACTCATTTACATAATGAAGGAAGACCAGGATTTACTTAATGACTGATGCATCATGTATCAAAGATGGGTTAGTAACCACGTGTTAAAACTGTAAACACCAAAAAAATGGACTACAGATTCTAATTAGAGTTCTAACATTAACTTTTAATATTAATAAATCATTTCTTTTTCCTTCAAGTCATTGCTGTTATCTGTGAATTAAAATTATTCAACCAGATATGAAGTAAGATCTTGTGTAGCTCTAAAACAGAGTTCTTCTAAAAATGACATTATTTCTTGTGCAGATAGAGGTTAAGATGGATACTCTTAAAAGTTGCCACTAAAGAAAGAGAATATATATGATTCCAAATTATGCTTGGATTATAAATAATCCTTTAATATTAAACATATTAAACAAACCCCAAATAGAGTGCATTATATTAAAATCATGTTAAATACTAAAATTAACTTTTGTAAAAATGACTTTTGTACTGAATTTCAGCCACACTTTTTTTTTGGGCAATCACAATCATTTTATGGCTGATGGCACCTTAAAAGGCTTTCAAGCGAAAAGAAACTTGTTGACTTGCTTAACCGAGTGACTAAGTGAACAGAAACTTACATAAAGACACATATTATTTTATATTAAAGGTGGATGCTGATTTTATGTTCACAGTGGAGAGAAGAAGAAACTTAACCTGTAAGAAACTCTTCTTATCATCCTACAGAATTTTGGTAAATTATCAAATATGCATAAAAGCTAGGAAAATAAATTTGGTATCTCTGCTTTAAGTTAGATCAAGCTGTGAGAAAGCCAAAGTTGTTCATTTCAGCAATTGTTACACTTTTCTGAAAGTGCCTTTAATCGAAGGTTTGCACTTACATAATTACCACTAAGCACTCTGTGTACTTAGGTAAAAATTAGCAAATTTCATATACATAAGACTATGCAAAGACAGGAAAACATAACTTACTGTTTTTTCTCTCCCAGGTTCAGGCTTTGCTGTGCGTGCCACTTGTTGCTGTCCTTTCATCTTTTGAGTCGCCTCATCATCTTCCTTGGGCAAACTTGGAGGCAGGCCAGAGGGTGCAGCCTCCATCTTGGTCTGTGGCGGTTTCTCCTGTACCACCTGAGGAGCCACTCTGCCTTCCGGCTCTTCTTCAGTGGTTGGTACTTGAGTTTTAAGTAAGTCTTGTTTCTGTTCCGCCTCTAGAGCTGATGGTTTTGTTGCTGCAGGTAACTTTTTGTCTTCAGGGGCTGGCTTTTTGTCTTCAGAAGTTGGTTTTTTTTCTTCAAGAGGTGGCATTTTTTCTTCTGGGAGTGGCTTTTTGTCTTCAGGGGGTGGCTTTTTTTCTTGAGGGGCTGAAGTTTTGTCTTCCTCTAGTTGACTCTCCTGTTTGTGATTTGTGGTCACCTTTGGGACAATCTTTTCAACTGATGGTATTTCTTTCACTTTTTCTGGAATGACTTGCTCAGCTTCTGTTTTTACTTCTTGTTCCTTCTTCTTCATTTTTACTTGGGTAGGCATTGCTGTTTTCTGAGATGGTTGCTCTGGAGGGACAGGTATAGGAGAGGCTTTGGGTCCTGAAGGTGTAGGTGGCATTTTGCCCATATCTCCAAGCTGTCCTGATATTGCTCTCTGGGTTTGGCAATTTAAACAAAGCCATTCTTGAATCTGCAAAGAAAACAGCAATTAGCAGATTAACTATATTATAATGCATCTGTTTTGGTGAATCTGTTTTGGTGCATATACTAAGATTAACATCTGGTGACTTCTAGTTGCTTTTTTGTATAGGGAGAAGATAGGTCATTGTTTTCCAAATCAATGAAATAGTGACTTCTAAGGAAGACTGCAAAAAGACTATTTATAATCTAAAAATATGAGGAATCCCTAGAGATTGGCAATTCACTCTCCTCACCATGAGGAAGAAAAAAAATGTAGCATTAAAGATGGAGCCAAGGATCAGTCATTAAGTGTCTGCCTTCAGCTCAGGTCATGATTCCAGGGTCCTGGGATCGAGCCCCACATCAGGCTCCCTACATTATAATGTAAGAACTAAAGACTATACATGTAGCTTCTAATTGTTACATTTAATAAATACCTATTCTGTAAAGTCCAAGGTTGGAGAGTCATACAAAGAGTATTGCATTCAGATGTTGCACTGTTTTCTGAGTTCAATTTCAAACTGCTTTTCATACTGGATCACTCTTTCTAGTTACATGACAAAATCACTTATTGTTCAAGAATATTATTAGGGATCTAAGTTTCATTTCTTATTTCAGCTTCTAATTTCTTTAGAGATATAAAAAATGTTGCTTAATAATAATGACTGAGGAGCGCCTGGGTGGCTCAGTCAATTAAGGGTCTGCCTTCGGCTCAGGTCATGATCCTAGAGTCCTGGGATTGAGCCCCACATTGGGCTCCCTGCTAAGCGGGGAGTCTACTCATCCCTCTCTCTCTGCCCCTCCCCCCAACTCGTGCTCTTTCTCTCGTTCTCTCTCAAATAAATAAAATCTTTAAAAAAAATAGTAATGAGTGTTTTGCAATCTGTAAGCCATTATAAATTCTTATTTACTTATCTGAAGAGTAAAGACAAAAGTCCATTATTTAATTTTTGTCAATTGCTGTCTATAAAACATCAGTATGCGTTACGGGTTCATTTGCTTTTTGTGTGTACAATTATCTAATACCAATTCTCTTCTTAATTCAGGTTTTGGCAACTCTACAGTATTGAATGGCGGCTTCTTTACACCAGAACTTTATAGAAAAGTCTTAGGAAAGAAACTGACTTGATCCCTTACGTCAAATATGAAAAGCTTGCTCCAACCCTGGCACTGAATAGTCCCTGGAGGAGGCACTTCCACAAGAAAATCAATTTTCCAAGAAAATCAATCTTTATCTGTGCTGTGGTTTTAAAAACCATTACTCAGTTGAGCCACATCTGAGGATATTTTTTTTCAGAACCTGACATTTTTTAAAAACAAAAGCGGACACAAATAGTTGCATCACTGCTGTCTTGTCACATGGATTGTAAAAACCAAATGCAGGTGTGTGTTAAGCCACTTGTTGCTTAACAGGTCATGTCCTAATGTAAAGAAGTTAGGAAGTTTTTCATATACCAGGAACACAGGTATCATTACATTGCAAATTTTTATCAAAATAATAGTGTGATTCTTTTATCTGAGTTTTTGGAACAAATTATTCTTGAAAAGTTATCATCTCTTACTACTTATAGCATATGATACCACAATGGTACACAGCTCTCATTAAAATGAAAATGTGTTCAGAAAATAAAGTGACCATTTCAAAGTAATATACTCATTATTTTCACATATTTGAAGGTTAAGGGGATAAAAGGTATCATCTATTTAACTTATAGTGTCACATAAAACACTTCATTTTCCCAATTTAAAGTCATGTTTGATAAACCTATAAGCAGTGAGAACCCACACTAGTATGGTCTGCAAGGCAGAGGGAAGGCAATAATGTCAGTCTAAAAGAAAAAGGATTTTATCCTGAGAGCCTCGCTGTCTAGATCAAACTTGTGTTTGCTTAAGTTTCCATCCGTATGCAGTTAAACCTGATATTTTTATACTTGGTCTCGCAGTTGCCTGAGTGATTTGCATTTGAAATAAGATTATTAAGACAAGCCTAATTCTTTTGACTTTACACTTTGACTAACTGTCACCAAAATTCATTTGGAAACTGATGTTACTATCATGTCAAATAATTATGACAATGTAATTCACTTATGTATCTACTCTGTATATATTTATTCTATCTATATTTATGGAGTACATATACCATTGGGTAAGGAATAAGATATGGGTTAAAATATGCAGTAAAAAATATATACACATATAAGGGAAATGGAAAGGATATAATGTTTTTTTTTTTTAAGATTTTATTCATTTATTTGACAGAGAGAGACACAGCGAGAGAGGGAACACAAGCAGGGGGAGTGGGAGAGGGAGAAGCAGGCCTCCTGCCGAGCAGGGAGCCCAATGGGGAGCCTCGATCCGAGGACCCTGAGATCATGACCTGAGCTGAAGGCAGACGCTTAACGACTGAGCCACCCAGGCGCCCCAAGGATATAATGGTTTTAGTGGACTGTCTGATGAATCTGTTTAGAACATAAGGAATTAGATAATTTATGAATCCCAAAAGAGAATTTTTTCACCAATTAGAAATGCTGAATTGGAAGTCTCATACATGTGTCTCTTCTTTCTGTAGCCCTAGAACCAAAATTAGAATGCCAACAAATTCGGCAAGCAGAAGAAGTTATAATATAAAGAAGGAATTAAAAAAGGGGAAAAAGTATAGTAACACCAAAATTTGTATATTTCTTTAAATATGCAAATATAAATTTTATTAAGAGAGGGCATACGAAAAGGCAGAGGCTAGGATAAAATCAAAAGTAGAAATGAGAAAAGCAAAATTGATTGAATTTTAATACTGAGTAAAATGAGTGAAAATGAATTTTCAAATGAAAGTTTATTTTGGATAATATAGGTTATCGTCATTATCATATCACCATTAAATACAAACACAATTACTAGAAAAATTGGCTTCACAAGTCACAATTTAGGAAATACTCTACAACACATAAGATGTAAAAATCTGTAGTTCACAATTTTTTTCTTTGCATTCTTTACCAAAAATAATCCCAAGAAATTTTGTATTCCTGTATTCAGGGATTTAATTAAGAAGCATTATATTTCTAGGTCCAAAAAAACCATTATCTTCACTCTTTGTTCTTCAACAGCCACACCATTAAATACTCATAATGTTTCTAGTCCAGTAACAATCTGGAGATACAATAAGCAAGATGCCTAAATTATACAAAAATTCAATGCATAAATTATCACTGCCCATATATGATCTTTACCACCTGAAAGGACTTTACCACACATAGTATTAACTCTTTCTGTAAATTGCAAAACACATGACTATTCATAGTTTGCCTTAAGGTTAAACATCAAAAGAGTTACAGCTTTATCTTTGAAAATAAAAACAGTGAGACAGGGGTGCCTGGGTGGCTCAATCGGTTGAGTGTTCGGCTCCTGCTTTAGGCTCAGGTCACGATCCCATGGTTTGTGAGATCGAGCCCCGAGGGCCACTTGCGCACTCAGCGGGGAGTCTGCTTGAATATTCTCTCCCTCTGTCCCTCTCCCCAACTTGTTCCCTCTCTCTCTCACTCTCTCTAAAATAAAGAAATCTTGAAAAAGGACAGTAAGACAATTAGAAAATAAATATATTTTATATATATTATTATGTAATATATACTTATATAAACTAAAGCCATTGCTGTTATATTATTGAGTTGACTACATAGAAAATACATTGAAAAATACAGATGCTTATGGAGGTTTTTTTTTTTTTAACATACAAGTCATCATTACGGATGCTTTCAGACCATTTCCATTGGTTTCAGTAGGTTCTTAAATTATGTTTTATTTTCAGTAGCCTATAAATATCTCCTAATAGTAGAAAACATAAAAGTTTTATCTATATTATTATTAAATGTATCAAATAAATTCAGAAGACTCTATTAGACCAATCACCTTTTAATCCAGGGCTTTAACATTAATAACCAGGATACCAAATTCATCTCCAAGTAGGGGAAAATTCTGATAAACAGTGTATAAAAAATAACTCCATGTCGATCACAACATACTAGAATGTATTCAATTGTCAGCTGGTGCATGTTAATAGAATGCATTTATTTTAATATCATATCATCAGGGCTTGTTCAAAGCAATGCTTCACAAATCCATTAATCTTAAGAGCAAAGTAGGAAATGAAGGCAATAAAAACCCAGAAGAGGGATGTTGCTGTGCTACTTGGCATTTTTCCATCAATAAGCAATTTGCTTTGTATAACATTTTAGCTGTAACTATAGCAACAATACCATTAAGGAAAATCTCTGAATTTCAGGCCTGCCTATTTATTTTTCTAAGTATCATTTCGGAAGCATGATAATAAGACCTGCCTCAGGTTGAAAGTTGGACATTAGACCTAAAATGGTAGAGAACGGATGGCTGTGAAGCCTGCGGGAGCATTCATAGCTGTATCTGAGAAGTCTTCACCACATTTTAGCATGAATTTTTCATTAAAAGACCAACCAGACGAATGTGGAAACTCAGAGAGTTTCCACCAATAAGAGTATGTAAGCAGAGGTTACGCACCCCCTACTCAAAATTCTGTAAAGGAAAACCAAGTGATCAAGGGAATTGATACTCAAATACCTTGGAGTTTCCAGCCTACTATTAAGTCTTTGAGTCAACAATAAACATTTTACACAGGTTTCTGTTGGTCTGTTGATCTGCTTATTACTCAGAATGTTATTTTTTCCAGCTAAAAAATAATTACACTGATGATCTGTTTAGAAATCACTATTTACTTATCAACAGGCCCAAAAATTGGAGAGCAATGTTACCTGCAACCTGTCACTGGTATCAGCCTCACCTATAGTCTTGGATGAAGGTGTTCCATTTATCTGAGGCCCATACACTTTTTTTTTTTAAATTTTTAAGATGATGCTTTGAAGATTTTACTTATTTATTTGAGAAGAAAGAGAGATAGAGAGAGGGAGAGGGAGAAGCAGGCTCCCCACTGAGCCAGGAGTCTGACATGGGGCTCAATCCCAGGACCCCTGGGATCATGACCCAAGC